CAGATGTGAGCAGGATGCTTACCAAAGAGAACAAGGTGACCTGCCTCACTTTTTTTTTTTAGGGCTAGGGATTGAACCCAGTTTTGTTTTGTTTTTTTTGTGTGTGTGTGTATCTTTTTGAGACAAGATCTCCCTGTAGCCCCAGCTGTCCTGGAACTCACTATGTAGACCAGGCTGGCCTTGAACTCTGCCTGCCTCTGCCTCCTGAGTACTGGGATTAAAGGTGTGTGCCACCACACCTGGAAAACCCAGGGTTTTGTACATGCCAGGCAAGTGTTCTATTACTGGGCTATAACCCTAGCTTGTTTGTTTTGAGACAGGGTTTCATGTATCTCAGGCTGGTCTCAAACTCTCTGTAGCTGACCACACATATAAATTTGATATTTATAGCTATTAATAAACTGCCTTCCTTAAAAAGCTGTACCTTCTAGTCAGGCTTGGTGGTACACACTTGTAATCCTAGTATGTGAGAGGCAGAAACAGGAGTAGTTCACATGCTTTGAGGCTCTCTGGGACTATATGACAAGACTCTGCTTCAAAAAGTTAAAAAAAAAAAAAAAAAAAAAGGACCAGGAGTTGGTTCAGCAGTTAAGAGCACTGCTGCTCTTGCAAAGGACCTGGGTTTGATTCCCAGCACCCACATGGCAGTTAACAACAGTCCATAACTCCAGTTTTAGGTGATCTATGCCTGCTTCTGGCCTCAATGGGCACTACCACCTATGGATGCACTTACATGTAGGCAAAACACTCATGCACATAAAAAGTTTCTTAAAAAGTAAAAAATAAGCCAGGCACGGTGACACATGCCTTTAATCCCAGCACCTGGGAGTCAGAGGCAGGCAAATCTCTGTGAGTTGGAGGCCAGCCTGGTCTAACATAGTGAGTTCCAAGCCAGCTGGTGCTACAGGGAGGCCCTGTTTCAAAGAGACCAAAAAAAAAAAAAGTAAAAAATAAATAAAAATAAAAAATTGGGGTACTCTTCCCTTGGAATACATCCTACTCTTGTAAGTTTTCTCCTACCTTTAATAAATCTATATTTGCTTGAAAAACAAAAATAACAGAGGCTGGTGAAATGGCTTATCAAGTAAAGGATCTTGCTACCAAGACTGACAATCTGAATTTCATCCCTGGGACCCAATAGGAGGGAACTGAGTTCTACAAACTGTCCTCTGACTGCCACACAGGCGCCCACACATACACAAATAAATGTAATACAAATAGCATCTTCTGGGCTGAGTGCTGTGGCACACACCTTTAATCCCAATACTCGGGAGTTAGAGGCAGGTGTATCTCTTTGAGTTTCAGACCTGCTGGGGCCACAGGAAGACCCTGTCTTTAAATAAAAAAAAAAAAAAAAAGCATCTTCTAATAATCTTTTTCTTTTTCTCTTTGGAGCAGGATCTCCCTGTAGCCCCAGCTGTCTGGCCTTGAACTCACAGAGGTCTGCCTCCTCTGCTGGGACTACAGGCATGCACCACCACACCTGGCATAATCTTTTAATATCAGTATTATTTTTATGTGAATGTTTTTGAGATGGTCTCCCACAAATCCCAGCTTGTCTGGAACTCCCTATGTAGACCAGGCTGGCCTCAATCTCACACAGATTTGCTTGTCTCTGCCTTCTGAGTGTTCAGATTATAGGTGTGTGCCACCACACCTGGCTTTGCCTGCATGTATGTGTTACCACATGCATGCAATGCCCATGGAGGCTAGAAGAGGGCATTGGATTCCCAGGAACTGGAGTTACCGTTGGTTGTTAGCTACAATTTGAGGGCTAGGAACTGAATTTAGGGCCTTTGAAAGGCAGTCAGTGCTCTTCAGCCATGTCTACAGCCCCCAGCATTATTATTATTATTATAACAACTTATTTTATGTATGTGTCTTGCCTGCATTTGTATAAGTGCACCATGCATGCAAACCTACAGAAGCCAGAAGAGGGCGTCAGATTCCTTGGAACTGTAATTATAGGTTGTGAGCAGCCATGTGAGTACTGGTAACTGAACCCAGGTCCTCTGGAAGAGCAGTCAATGCTCTTAACCACTGAGACATCTCTCCAGCCCCCCTTATTTTCTTTTTTGACATACCTCTGAGACTGCAACAAATTTCAATCCAAACATCAAGGATCTGATTTTAAGAATTTTAATTTGTAAACACAAAGAAAAAACAGCCCAGGAAAAAACAGCCACAAATGACCCAAGAGTAAGATCCTTTTGGCTTTAAGACATGTCTTTTTAGTGTATCTACATAAGTAAGGTTTTCCTTTTTTTTTTTCCTCATGTGGGGCTTAAATCCAGGGTCTGACTTGCTAAGCAGTAGCTCTGAGCCACATGCCCAACCCCTCAGCTAGGTTTTTACACAACCCTGTGTTGGGGTACATTGAATGTGATACTTAACTAGTCTATGATGCAGGTCTTCAGTGAACAGGTACTCCAGAGCACAGAGGTCCTGCACTGAAGTACATATTCATTCAAGAGAGGTGGCTCAGCAGTTAAGAACACAGGCTGCTCTTGCAGAGGAACTGGATTCAATTCCCAGTACCCATATGGCAGCTAACAGTCATCTGTAACTCGAGTTCCAGGAAATCTAATACCCTCTTCTGATCTCTGCAGGCACTGTATACACTGGTGCACTTGTATACATGCAGGCAAAGCATTCATATACATAAATTAAAAATTTTTTAAAAATAAAAACCTTTTGTGCTTAAAAGGACTCTCAGTAAAAAATCACAGCATTTGAGAAAAATTTTACAAATTATCTGTCTGGTAATTTGGTTTAGTATTCAGACTATATAAAGAGGCCTTATAATTCAATAAGAAATAACCCAAGTGAAAAACAGACCAAGGACTAAAACTAACAGTTCTCCAGAGGAGGTGTCTAAGTGGCCAATATCCACATAAAAAGCAGCTCACCACCATTAGCCATCAAAAATACAAACGAGCCAGGCCTGGTGGTGCACTCTTTTAATCCCAGTGTTTGGGAGGCAGAGGCAGGTGAATCTCTGTGAGTTCCAGGCCAGTTAGGGCTACATAGTGAGACCCTATCTAAATGAAGCCATAATGAAATTCCACTTCACCTCCACTGGGAGGGCAAAATACAAGTGAAGATGTGGGGAAATGGAACTGTCACTGGTGGCTGAAGTTATGGCTCTAATCTGTACACTGTTACATGTATTGTATCTCATGCTAGAAAAAAGCCATCTTTACACATGCTACATAGCATGAGGCCTGCAGAACATGCTGAGAAGCCAAGCAAAAAGGCCACACACTGTAGGACTCCGTTATATGGCATACCCAGGGTAAGCAAGTCTATGAAGACAGGAAGTGGACTGATTAGCCCAGAGGTAAGGGCAAGAAGAGACATTGGGAGCAATGAAGAGTTGCTGTTAAAAAGTGCAGGAACATTTTTTTGGGTGAAAATGTTTTAGAATTAGATAATGGTTATAGTTGCAAAACTGTATATACTGAAAACCACCAAGTTGTTCACTTACTTCAAAGAGTATGATGGAGCATGACAAAGTACACCAGCAATTCCAGAACTAGAGCTTGAGTTAAGGCAGGAAGATTTTTTAGTTCAAGACCAGCTTGGGACACACCGTAAGTTAGAGGACAGCCTGTACACTACATACTGTACATAGTGAGGCTGTCTCAAAAAACAAAGCAGGAGGCTGGAGAGAAGGCTTAAGTCAAGAGCACTGGCTACTCTTGCAGAGGACCTGGGTTCTAATCCCAGCACCGATATATTGGCTAACAACTGTCTGTAACTCCAGTTGCAGGAAATCTAACACCCTCTTCTGATCTCCTTGGGCACTGTATGACATGGGTGCACTTAGACACATGCAGGTAATACACTAATGCACATTAAAAAAAAAAACAAAAACCTCCCCCCAAAATCCAAAACAAAACAAACCAGGGACTAAAGAGATGACTCAGGGGTGAAGAACACTTGTTGCTCTGGGTTCAGTTCCCAGCATCAGGTGGCTCACAACCACCTCTAACTCCAGCTCCAGGGGTCCATCACCCTCTTCTGGCTTCCATGGGCACATACATGAATACATACATATAAACACACAAATAAATGAATAAAATCTAAAACAAACAAAACGAAAACCTCAAAATACAAACACTCCACTTCCCCCAAATATATACATCACCACATCTTCTCCCATAAAAATACCATGGTATGTGAAGTTTATCTGAAAAAAAAAAAAAATTTTTTTTTTTTGGTCTTTTTGAAGCAGGGGCACCCTGTATTCACTATATAGACCAAGCTGGCCTTGAACTCACAGAGATCCACTTGCCTCTGCCTCCCAAGTGCTGGGACTACAGGCGTGTGCCACCACACCAGGCTCCTGAAAATTCCTTTTAAATATTTATTATTTTTATTTTATATATATATGTGTGTATTGCCTGCATGTATGTAGGTGCACCCATGTCATGCAAGCCCTTGGTGGTCAGAAGAGGGTGTCGGATCTGGATGCCCTGGAACTGGAGTTATAGACAGTCGTTATCTGCCATGTGGGTGCTGGGAATTGAACCTGGGTCTTCTGCAAGAACAGCTATTAACCACTGAGCCATCTCTCCAGCCCCTACCTGAAAAATCTTTTAAAAATTTATTTTTAATTTTATGTGTATGAGTATTTTGCCTGCATTCATGTACACAAGTGCACCGGTGTGTGCAATGCCCAAAGAGGGCAGAAGAGGGTATCAGATCCCTCTGGAACTGAACTGGAATTACAGAGGTTGTTAGCCGCCATGTGAGTGCTGGGAATTGAACCTCTGCAAGAACAGCCAGTGCTCTTAACTGCTGAGGCATCTCTCCAGCCCCTCAAAAATGTTTTAATTCAGCTGGCATGGTGGTACATGCCTTTAATCCCAGCACTCTGGAGGTAGAGACACGTGGATCTCTGTGAGTTTAAGGCCAGCCTGGTCTACATAGTGAGTTCCAGGCCAGCTGGGGCTGCAGGGAAACCCTGTCTCAAAAAAAAGTTTTAATTCAATAACTAAGACGAACAATACAGTTTATTACTTATTAAGTACCAGCTTAAAACTGCAGAATTTTAAATCACCCTGACAGCCTACTTCCAACCCCCCCACTAGAATTCTTGATCAAGAGTTTTTTCAAGTAAGGAGCACTCTCTTCTCTCTTCCATAGGGAACTGTATGAAACAAAGGCAGAGGACTGTGTACATCCTGCTGTCAAGCAGTGCTGCTCAGGCTTCCTTCACTGCCCAGGTCCTGAAAGACTCTTGTTCATGAACTGTCTCTTCACAAAGCAAGTCCACCACTGTCAAAGGGGTACAGGACAGAATGGATGGTCAGGCACAATGCAATTTCAAAGAAAGGTCAGAATTCCAGTCTATGTACTACTAATAAAATAATAACAATATTTAATATTAGATTACCACCTCATACACTATAAACTTCTCAAAGGTAAACCCCAGTAAAGCACGCAAATATAATTCAATTGGCCCTCCGTATGTGTGAGGGCTTGCATCCAAGAAAATACTTGGGAGGAAAAAAAGGTGCCTGAGCCAGGCACAGAAGCATACACCCTGTAATCCAGAAATAGGGAAGTCAAGGTAGGAGATGCTCCAGGCCAGACTGGGCCTCAGAAGACTTTGCCTCAGCCCCCCTCCCCCCTTATCCTGAACACATACGGAGTTTGTTCTTTGTCACTATTCCCTAAGTGAGGCCAATGCAGTAGAACTCCTACTTACATGGCATTCACAGTGTTTTAGGGACTGTAAGTAACCCGAAAGTGCTTTAAAGCACATGGAAGGATGCACATGGGTCACATACAAACCTCATGCTACTCTACATGTGGAACTTGTACACAACACAGACTGATTCTGTGGCTACCAAGGGATAACTACACATCTCACCCCAAAACCCTGAAAGCAGGGTTTCAATGCCCTTGTATTTAGCTGATGTTAAGAGCAGGCAACAAGAATCTGCTCAAGAGATGCAGTTCTTTATTCAGTGTGATCCAGTGAACTCCTATGAACATACTCCAAGTTAAGCAGCACTGAGGTGCAGAAATCAAAAGTATTCTTGTAAAACTTTTGTGTTTACAGGTACAACAGGGAAAAAGATGAGGTGTTAACTAAACAGGCAAAGAGGAATACCTTACCTTGCTGGGTTTATCGTTCTGAGGGTCAAAAACTTTGTCACAAAGTCTCAGTCCAGTCTCTTGCCTCAGCTGCTGGAGGTACGCTCGCATCACTTCTAGAACACATAAAGACTATGTAAGAATATATGCACTAGGTGTGGTGGTGCACGCCTTTAGTCCCAGCACTCAGCACTCGGGAGACAGAGGGAGAACTCTGTGCGATTGAAGCCAGCCTGGTCTACATAGAGAGTTTCAGGCCAGCTGGGGCTACCCTGTCAAGCAAGCAAGCAAGAATGAAAATATATGTTGCCTGCTGGTCTAGATATTGCAATTTTTTTTAACTTTTAAAAATATTTTATTATTTTGTCTTATTATTTTATGTGTATTTCCTGCATGTATGTAAGTGCACCCATGTTGTACGATGCCCACGGAGGTCAGAAAAGGGTGTCAGATATCCAGGAGCTGGAATTGTAGATGGTTGCAGCCACCATGTGGGTGGCTAGGAATAGAACCTGGGTCCTCTGCAAGAGCAGCCAGTGCTCTTAACTGCTGAGCCATCTCTCCAGCCCCTGCAATGTTTTTATACATTGAAACAGAGTAAGAAAAAGGATAGTTCAAATGTTTTTTTCTCTTTTTTAAAAAACCATCCATCCATCCATCCATCCATCCATCCATCCATCCATCCGGGTGTAAGTGTGCACTGGAGATGTGCATATGGAGATGTGGAAATAGAGAACAACTATGGGAATTGGTTCTCTCCTTCCACTATGCGGGTCTCAGTGATCAAACTCAAGCTGTCAGGCTTGATGACAAGCACCTGTGCTTGTTAAACCATTTTGCTGGCCCAAAATGGTCTTAATAACGTTAGTGTTGGTTCAATAGTCTCTGCAGGGGCTGATGTGATGACTCAGTGGTTAAGAGCACTTAGTGCTCTTCCGGAGGACCTAGGTTCAGTTCCCAGCACCCACATGGCATTTAAACCTCTCTTTAACTCTGGTTCCAGGAGATCAGATGCTCTCTTTTTTATCCTCTGAGAGCACTGGCACACACATGGTACACTTACATACATATAGGCAAAACAATCATACACATAAAAATAAAATCTTAAATATTTTTTAGGTCTCTGCATATTATATGTTAGACTTTTTTTTATGAAAGTAAGATAACATGTATCCTAAGGATCCCACTGTCAATCTGAACACCAATCAAAGGGCTGGGTAGATGGCTCAGTGGGTAAAATGCTTACTGCTTAAGCCTGAGGACCAGAGTTTAGAGCTCTAGCATCCACATAAATGCTGGATGGGTATATATGGTGGCTGGCCTGTGATCCTAGCTCAAGAGATAGAGATGGGATTCCTGGAGCAAGCTGGCTAGCTTGCTTGAATGGGTGAGCTCCAGGTTCAGTGAGAGAGCCTGCCCCAATATACAATGTGGAGAATGATCAAGGAAGATACCTAACATCAACCTCTGGCTTCCACATGCATGTGCACACAAGTGTCCATGTGCACAAGTCCATTCATACCTGCACACACTTGTGCTCCCCTACACACATACAAAACAAACAGCAATCAAGACAAGAAAAGAAATGGATAGAGAGTAAAATGGAGAAGCTGGGCATGGTGGTAGACTCTTAAAATCCCAGTACTCGGGAGGTTGAGGCAGGAGGATCATGAATTCAAGACCAACCCCAGCTATAGAGTGAGACCATGCCCCAGAAATAACCCAAACAAACAAACCAAACCAACACCCAAAGTGAGATGGAGAAATCATTGCCAGAGGGAGGGACACATACACATACAGACACAGGCACACACACAGACACAGACACACACAGTTCTGTTCTTACCATCTTCCTGTTTGTTTGCAGGTTTGGCATAAATTGCATTGAGGGGAAAGCCGGGCTCTCCAGGAATGGGAAAGTTCGTGATTCCCAGTGTGTACATTTCTTTCTCACCTTGGCTTTTGGAATTGCACTAAAAACAAAGAACATATATATTTTTTTTGGTCTTTTTTGAGACAGGGTTTCCATGTAGTCCCAAATGGCCTGGAACGCACTATGTAGACCAGGCTGACCTTGAACTCATAGAGATCCACCTGCCTCTGTCTCCCAAGTGCTGGGATTAAAGGCATGCGCCACCATGCCCAGCTACAAGGAACATATTTCATAAGGAAAAATAATATCCAAGTTGTAATTGTTCAGTTGTTCAGTTTAAGTAGCTAAGTGTGGTGTATAATGGTGGGTTTTTTAGGCGGGGGTGCTTTTGCAAATTTGGTAAACCTTGTGGATCTCGTCTCAAAACACTTTTCCAAGGAATAAAACCAAACAGAATTAGAAGAGAAACCAACTAGAGCGAAATATAGTTAATACAAATACTAAAATCCAAACTTCTGATAGCCACACATTTCTTTTCATAAATGCCAAAATATCTTTTACCAATTAAATTCTGAAGTAGTGATGCATGTGAACAAATGTAAAAGCATCTTCAACTTTGATGCAATATAGAAGTATTATGAATCCCTAGGAGGAAGGAGGGTACTGCTGCCTATGTGCGCTGCTGTCTGTGTTAATATTTGAAGTAAATAATAAATTTTAGTTCTAAGATAATTGTCGGGAGCCGCTAATCATTCAGCTGTGCCTTATTAGGAGGAATATGTTTATATGGAGAGCCTCACAACACCTACAATAGTGGAAGCCTTTGATCTGACCGCTCCCTGACCCTCAGATACAGGTGGGGAAATACAGCAGTTGTAACTAATTGAGTTCTTCTGTATAAAAAGGCAGAACTGAAATAAATCGCTGGCAGTATTCACTGTAAGCCCTCCCAAGCGTCTTTTCTGTCTCCTTTCCTTTCTTTCAATCCTCACTCCCCCTTTCAGGTACTGTCCGTTTTGGCCGGCTGGCACCGACAGATAATAGATTTCTGTCTTGAAAAAAAAAAAAGCCTTAAAACATCACCAATCTCTCCATGTCAGTTATACTATGAGTTGAGAGAACAGGAAACACTGTCTACTTGTTCTAAGGTCTCAACAGCCCAGGTGGCTGGGAGGGGGGGTACTTAACAGTATTTGTTTTCCTGATGTGTGCTGTTCCAAGTTTCATTACCTTTTGGAGTTTCTTTAGACACTCAGAAATGTAGAGAGTGATATAGATCAAGGTCCTGTCGGCTTCATTCTACAAGAGAAAAGAAAACTTAAAAGCAGTCCTCATCAAACCTAATGGCCACACGCGATGGACAAATTCAGAGCACCAGTCTTCTGATTACTGACTGGCCACCCTCACAGGACAGTGCTCTCTAAACTAATACAGTCTCCCCAAGCTGCCCTCAGGGAGCTGCTGGTTTATACCCTTAGCTGTGTGGCTGCTCTGCTCCCCTGGCACCACCTAAGTTCCTGGAGTCGGCCAATAGCCCCTCTCTGTAGGAAGGGGAATGAACAGAGCCCAGAGGCAATCACATGGCTGGCTCATTTTCAAAAACCCTTTCACTTGAGGATTTCTGCTGAGAACAGAAACACGAAGCACTCAAACAGAGGAAGCAGTTATTTCCCACGTGACAAGTTCTGGAAGAACTCCATTAAGTCCAACATCTGGACCCAACTGAAAGGAAAACCTAAAGACAATAGATATTGACCACAGGTGTCTATACTACAGGTCCAACTTTACAGATTTACAGTCATTTTTCCTTTTTTTTTGTTTTGAGATAGGGTCTTGCTATGCAGCCCTGGCTGCCCTCTAATTCTTGGACAGTCCTCCTGCCTCTCTCTCTGAAGTGCTGAGATTACAGGTGTGCACTACCGCTTTTGGCTTGTCCCTACTTTTAGGACCACATAACACTCCTTTAATCCCAGCAATGTGGAGGCAGAGGCAGGCAGATCGCTGTGAGTTCCAGGCTAGCCTGGTCTACATAGTGAGTTCCAGGCCAGCTGAAGCTATAGGGAGGCCCTGTCTCAAAAAGACCGAAAAAAAAAAAGTAATGGGAAGCAGAGGCAGGAGGATTACCCTAAGTTCCAGGCCAACATGGTCTTCCTAACAAGTTCCAGCTAGTGCTACATAGTGAAACCACTTAATGGGTGCTTAATCAATGCTGAATAAACACAGATGCATTTAGACCAGAGGCAAACTCTCTCAAAGCCAGAGAGTTAAGTTTCTTAGGCCTTGTGGCCATGCAGTCTTTGTTATAACTGGTCAATTGCTGTTGCAGTGTGAAAGCAGCCATAGATTTAATATATAAACAGATGTGCATAGCTGGGTTCCAATACAAGTTTGTTTGCAATGAGAGGCAGTGGTTCATCTGGCCTTCAGGCTGGAGCCTGCCAGCTTCTGGTTAAGATTTTGGAGGGGAGCTGGGCGTGGTGGCGCATGCCTTTACTCCCAGCACTTGGGAAGCAGAGGTAGGCGGAGCTCTGGCCAGCCTGGTCTACATAGTGAGTTCTAGGCCAGCTGGGGCTACAGGGAGACGCTGTCTCAAAAACACACACACAAAAAAAAAGATTTTGGAGGGGAAAGAAAAACCAATGAAGAGTTTCATAGTAAGCCTTGTTCTCAAATTCAAAAATCACAATCACATTTCATTATTTTCACTCCTCATTGCAACCCTAACTGCAAGGTAGACTTTATCCCCATCAGAAAATTAAGTATCGTAAGTTCTGGAACTTACCTTGATTTCGTAGTTTTTGAAGAAGACATTGGCCTTGAAGTAATAGATGGCTTCATCCACAATATCTGTATCTTTTGCTAATCAGGAAATAAGAGAAAGGGAGGAAGGCAGAGAACATCAACCAAAGGCAACCAAAAACTAGAAAGAAAACTCTCCCAGCTCAATTATGAAGAGATTCTGGAGTTGGATAAAATAAAATGAGGATACTAGCTGGGCATGGTGGTGCACGCCTTTAACCCCAGCACTCTGAAGGCAGAGACAGGCAGATCTCTATGAGTTCAAGGGCAGCCTGGTCTACATAGTGAGTTCCAGGACAGCTTCAAAAACTATTATAGGTACCAGGTGTGGTGGTACATGCCTTTAATTCTAACATTCTAGAGGCTAGCCAGTACTACATAATGAGACCCTGTCTCAAAAAAAGTATTCAATATAATTTTATTTGAATCTACATACTGTAGTTTCAGAGAAGAAAACCTCAGATTATATAAGAACACCTGGGGTCCAGATATCTTTCTCTTTGTGAAAACTGACTTAAATTTGGTACAAGCTGTTCTAAGTGGTCACAGACTGAGAAAAGCCAGAAGCTCTGCTGTAACAGAAGTATCTCATTACTCAATTTCTTTGGCAATTCTGTGTTCTTTTTTTATTTGGGAAGGTCTGAATCTTAGAATTTGATGTCCATCAGCTGGCTGCAGCAACACTGAGACTTATTTCTTTGTGATCTGTGATCACCACTGCTTTCACACAGTGGTGATGCAGAGCAGCCCTGACACTTCAGTACCTCCATCCCTATGTCCTGCTAGAGGATGTGAACAGCATCCTAACTCTAGAGTGCATTATTTCCTCTCCATTAAATCTGAATAAAGACTATTAAAAAAAATTTTTTTTTTATGCAGCTGAGGTTCAAACCCAGGGCTTCACATATGCTACAAACAGGCTTTATCACTGGGTTATACCCCTGGCCCCAGAATTAATCTGATTAATTAAGGTATTCAGCTCGGTCGCTCTAGTCCCTCTAGGAAGAGGAACAAAGTTACCCCTCATATTTATGGTTTCTTGGGGTCTCATTTCCTCCTTGATTTTTTCCATTCTTGGCTAGTTGCATCTTCTGATATAATGTGAAAAGGTATTCTTCTCAAGCAATCTGCTCCAACATTCTTTTTTTTTTTCCCTGAAATTCTTTTGCATTCTTCTTTTTAAGTCTTTTTCCATCTGTTCCCCTTTTTTTTTTCAAAATCAAGTAAAAACTGTGGTGATTCACTAAATCTATTACATTTACTTATTTTTCAACTAGTGTTGAAAACAAAATTAAATTAAGAGGAGGTCAGGTCAAGTGGCTAGCAGAGCTAGCTATGGAAATGTGATCAGCACACAGTTGGGAACTGTAACTGTGGTCTTGGAAACCAAGACTAGAACTCAGTCCAGACCCTTTCAGGGTGCAGGGACACCACATCTAATACAATACAAATCACACTGTTGGCAGAACATCTCCAAACATCTCAGAAGAGTTTCAGTGTCTGAAAAAGAAGAGGGCTTTCAGAAGAGTAAAGACTTTCAGAAAGCAGAGTGCAGGGGATCTGAAGTGCAGCTTGGTGATAGCATGGGTGCTTAGCATGCACAAGGCCCTGGGTTCAATATTGCCACTAAAATTAAATAAGGTGCATGCCTGTAGCTCCTCAATTCTGCAGACTGAGGCCCAGGATGCCGAAACCAGACTGGAAAAAATAGCTGAGACCTTATCTCAAAAAAGCAAAATACAGGGATGGAGAGAAGGCTCAGTGGTTAAGAGCACTGGCTACTCTTGTAGAGGACCAAGGTTCAATTCCTAGCACCTACATGGTGGTTAACAACTGTCTATAACTCCAGTTCCAGGGGAATCCAATGATCTCTTCTGACCTCTGCGGGCATTGCACTTACACACATGCAGGCAATACACTCATACACGTAAAATTAAAATAATAAAATACTTATTTTAAAAAAGCAAGATACTTTACAAAGAACTACAGAAACTAAATGCCAAGGAAACAAAACTGCCAGTCAACAAATGATGAATGAAATGAACAGATACTTCCAAAACCAGAAACATAAATGGCTAATAACTATTTGAATCATCAGGGAAATACAAATTCCAACTACTCTGAGATATCACCTCTCTTGAGTCAGAATGGCTATCATCAAGAAATCTGATAGCAAATATGAGATAATGTGGGGAAAGAGGAACCTTATTCACTGTTGGTGGGACTGTAAACTAATGCAGCCATATTGGAAATCAGTTTGGAGGTTCCTCAAAGAATTAAAAACAGAACTACCCCATAACCCAGCTATTTCACTCCAAAGGATGCCATATCCTACCACAGAGATTATCTGCACATCCATTTTCATTGTTATCTATTTATGATAGCAAGGAAATGGAACCAACCCAGATGTCCATCAACAGATGAATGAATGTGGTCATATACAAAATGGAAACATTCAGCTTTAAAGAAAAGTAAAATCATGAAATCTGCAGAAAAATGGATGGACTTGAAAACTATATTAAGCGAGGTGGCCCAAAATCAGAAAGAAAAGAAACTTTATGTTCTCCTTCATATGTGGATCCTAGCCCATAACGTATGTATGTATATATCTAAGATGTAATCAGGTAAAGGTGTGCGTGTAGTAGAAAATCTAGAAAGAAGACCAACAGAGGGTGATATAGGCAATGAGGAAGGGAAGAATGCAAGAAAAAGGACACGAGTCACAAACAGTATAGAAAGTTAACTTTTTTCTAGGTTCAACTCTGCCATAGTTTTTTTCTTTTTCTTGTGGTAGATAAGAACACTGGTTGTTCTTGCAGAAGACCCGGGTTCAAATCCCAGCACCCACATGGCAGCTAACAACTGTCCGTAACTCCAGTTCCAGGAGATCCGATGGCCTCTTCTGTCCTCCAAGGGCATTGCATGACACGGGTGCAATTACCTACATGCAGGCAATACAGGCATACACATAAAATAAAAATAATAAATAAAAATTTAATAAACAAAACAAGCCGAGCGTGGTGGCGCATGCCTTTAATCCCAGCGCTCGGGAGGCTGAGGCGGGTGGATCTCTATGAATTCAAGGCCAGCCTGGTCTACATAGTGAGTTCCAGGACAGCTGGGACTACAGGGAGACCCTATCTCAAAAATGACCAAAAACAAAACAAAACAAAACAAAACACTAGACAAACCAAGAATCTAAAATACAAAAACTAAAACAAACAAAGCCAGGGGAGGGGGAGTGTGTGCGGCAGGTAGATCTCTGTTAGTTCTAGGCCAGCCTGGTCTACATAGTGAGGTCAGGCCAGCCAGGGCTACATAGTGAGTCCCTGTCTCAAAAAACAAAACAAAACAAACTTCCTAAGAAAGCAAAGAAAATTCAGAAAAAAAAAGAATTAGAAATGAGCAACATTACAAAGCACACTGGAGTACTTTGAGGCCAGGTGCAGTACATACCCATAATCTCAGCATTTAGGAGGCAGAGATAGGAGGATAACCTCAAATTTGAGGCTCACCTGGTTAGCCTTCCAGGCCTATCAGGGCTTTAGAATGAGATCCTGTTCTCAAATATCCAAAAATGATCTAATACTGAGGCATTATGAAAAAAGAAAATTCTAAAAAAGTTGAAAGGGGGCCACGGAGACAGCTCAGCAGATAAAACTGATAACGGGGCCAGGGAAATGGCTCAGTTGTTTATCCTATAACTTCCACATGTGTGCTGTAGCCTATGCATGCCCTTACACACAAACATGTACACATAAACAAAAATATTATTTTTTAAAAGTTGACAAAGAAGGCTAAGATGACTCGGTGGTTAATAGCACTCACTCCTTTTGCAGAGGACCTGGGTCAGTTCCCAGCACCTACATGGTAGCTTACAACCATCTGTAACTACAGTTCTAGGAGATCTGATGCCCTCTTCTGACTTCCATGGGCACGAGGCAGGGAGTTGGTACACACACATACATACAATCATACAAATAAAAATAAATCTTAAGAAAACTAGTCGACCAAGTAACAACTTTAGATGGGAAAAGGTTAACTTTTCTTTTCTTTCTTTTTGCAAACTGAGCTTAGTTTGGCCCGGAACCACAAGACTCAAGCCATCCTTCTGCCTCAGTGTCCCTAGTACACCACTATGCTGGTGTAATACTTTCTGTTGCTTGTTTTTTCCAGCATGGTGACAGAGAAAGGCTGGGGACTTTGTATTTAACACAGGAAGCGGCTTTAGATTCATTTGAAATAACTGACAGTAACTGGCAATCGTGGCCAGAATTAAGCACATTTCCTCTTTCTTTTCTTTTCTTTTTGGTTGAGACAGGGTTTCAAGTAACCCAGAACACCCTGGGATTTGCTAAATAGCTAAGGATGATGGTTCTGAATTTCCAATCTCCCTGCCTCCACACCCCTAATACTGGGATTACAGGCATGTGCCAAAACAACTGGTTTATGCTATGCTGGGGATTGAAACAGGGCCTTGTACATTCTAGGCAAGCATCATACTAATGTAGCCACATCCCCAGCCATATATCCCCTGGGGTTTACAAAACATCCTGGAGAAGTTATATGTGATAATACAGTTTCTTATGAAATACAACATGTAACTGTGATCTTCAAATGTTTAAAGTATATAACATGCAGCAAGCAAACAGAAGGCGAACAAGCAATCTGAGTTAAGCATTTCCCTGATTTGAAAACATCAGATGCTAGAGTTGGAGAGATGGCTCAGCAGTTAAGAGCACTGACTGCTCTTGCAGAGGACCCAGGTTTGATTCCCTGTACCCACATGGCAGCTAACAACAGCTCATAACTCCAGTTCCAGGGGATCTAATCTCTTCTGACCTCCTTGGACACTGCACAACATGGGTGCACTTATACACATCCAGGCAATACACTCATACACATAAAATAATAAATTAAAAAATATATTTTATTATTTTATTTATTTATTATTTTTATCTTATGTGTATGAGTGTATTGTCTGCATGTATGTGAGTGCACCTGTGTTGTACAATGCTGTGGAGGTCAGAAGAGGGCTTTGGATTCCCCTGGAACTGGAGTTAAGGATGGTTCGTAGCTGCCACGTGGGTGCTGGGAATCAAACCCGGGTCCTCTGCAAGAGCAGTCAGTGCTCTTAACCGCTGAGCCATCTCTCCAACCCCAATAATAAATATTTTTAAAAAAGAAAGTGTCAGTCTGTCAGACATCTTGTACCCAAGCTGGAGAAGAACAGTTGAAGACTTACTTTCTCGAGGAGCGGGTCCTTTGAACTGACTTCTGATGGGCAACAGTGCTATGTTTCCAATGAGTTTGGTATCTGGGTCCATGAGAGTAGAGTGGTAGGCCTGTGGTGGCAATCCAGGGAAGAATACAGGAATAGAAAGAAAATAAATGCAAAGAAGAGACAAGTCTGTTCTTCCAAAGAAAGAGTAACTTGCTCAAGATTAACTCCAAGACTGGGGAGAAGGGTCGACAGCAATGATGTGGAGCTAGCTCTCACTGTCTCAAGAAGACCAACAGGTAAATTTTGAGACATTCTGCAAGCTGGTCATTAAGCACAGACATTCCCTAAAACTAAATTATATAAACCTATAATTAAATTATATATTTAAAGCCGGGCGTGGTGGGGCATGCCTTTAATCCCAGCACTTGGGAGGCAGAGGCAGGTGGATCTCTTGTCAGTTCAAGGCCAGCCTGGTCTACATAGTGAATTCCAGGCCAGCTGGAGCTACAGGGAGACCCTGTCTCAAAAAGACAAAAATAAATAAATAAAAAATGCATTTTACTATAGTCTATGCTTTTTTTTTTGGTCTTTTTGAAGCAGGTTCTCCCTGTAGCCCCAGCTGTCCTGGAACTATGTAGACCAGGCTGCCTTTGAACTCACAGAGATCCGCCTGCCTCTGCCTCTGAAGTGCTGGGACTACAGGTGTGCACCACCACGCCTGGCTGTCTACGCTTATTAAGATTCCCTTTTTTTTTTCCCCTTTTATTTTTGCTGCATGTTCATGGATAAGCAAGCATGTTTGTATGTACAGGTCAGAGGTCAGCATCAGGTGTCTTAATCATTCCCTACTTTTGTATTTGAGGTTCACCAATTGGCTAGACTGGCTGGCTAGTAAGCCCCAGAGATGCTCCCATCTCTGCCTCCCAGCACTGGGATTATAGGCACATGCCATTACACTAGTTTTTTACATGGGTTCTGGGAACTGAATTCAAGTTCTCATGCTTGAGTGGCAAGTACTTTACCAATAGAGTTATCTCCTCCGCCCAGTTCTTTAGTGCTTATATCCTTAGGCTAGAAATACTGTATAATGGGATTTGACTGTGTAGTTCCTCATATTCTATGTTCCATGTCATAAATGTAGTTAGTGGGAACATTTCTACTACAGAAGCAGTCTAAGACCAAATAAATCAGGGTACCCACCCTCTTGCTAGTCAGGACCCAATCATTAGTTTTGGGTTTTTTTGGGGTTTTTTTTTGGCGTTTTTGAGACAGGGTCTCCCTGCAGCCCCAGCTGGCCTGGAACTCGCTATGTAGACCAGGCTGGCCTTGAACTCACAGATATGCTTACCTCTGCCTCCCAAGTGCTAGGACTACAGGCCTGCAGCTAGGACTGTGTGTGTGTGTGTGTGGTGTGTGTGTGTGTGTGTACACGTGTGTAGGTGCTCTAGGAGGTCAGAAGATGAGGTTTCAGATCCTTTGGCCTTTGGAGCACAGGTAGTTAGTTGTAAACTGCCCAATGTGGGTGCTGAGAACCAAATTGTAGTGCTCTGAAAGAACAGCAAGTGCTCTTAATTTCTTTAGCTCCTGATATTATAATTTATAAAACCACAAACCACAA